GTAATAGAGAAATCAACTGATGTACCCTTGTTAAATTTACATTGTAAAGAAAACTAAATCCAAAGAGTGGGTTTAGAAAATTGTAAATATTTGTGAAATATTGTTGTAAATAATCTTTAATTTGAAGAGCAATCGGTTTTTTTTTCTAACAGGAAAATTGCAAATAGGAATAACCAATTTTTTTTTTGAGTGCCTACTATGTGCCAAAGACTCTTTATTGGTATCCTCTGGTATAGGACCTATTATTAGCTGTATTTTACAGATAGGAAAACTGAGGTTTAGAGAGGTTTCTTAACAGCTTCGTTAAGAAACAAGGTCAGTGTTCAAACTGAGTTTGATTGAGATATCTAGTCTATGACTTAAAACTAGTATCAATTATTTTATTATCATTAATTGTTCAGTCTTAAATTCCCATATTGTCTACTTGCATTTGCTACTTTATGCTTAGATTCAGACTTATCTCAAAGAAAATGAAAAAAAAAATTTAGCCTGAAGATTTTAAAACTATAGTTTATCTATCTTCAAGCCATACATGGGAGTTTTTGTATTGACTGCTAGTTGGGGTTATCGGTTATTGTGTGCTTTCCTCATTCTCCATTTAAGATCATTGAGAAGTTTCTTTTTATTGTGATGAATAAAATAGAAAGTATTTATGATTTTCTATACAATGAGTCGTTTATCTTGTTAGAGTAGCTTAGACACTCATCTGAAAATCAGGAATGCAATTTCTGAATGGAAATACTCTGGCCTCCCAATTACAGGGCACATCTGTCTGGGTAAGTATGCTTTCCCCATGAAGCTGAGTGGCTTGGCTAATCTGTAGCCCATTTTACCTTGGAAAGGATAGATGTCCCAACAAGCCACTGAGCCCATTTTCTGCATTGCATCCTTATTCAAGAGGTTCCTATTGGCAAAAGATTGTAGGAACATGTATTTTTCTTTAATAACATAGTTTGCCTCATTTCATAAAGTATTTTTTACATTTCAGAATAGTTTTATCTATTATCTGACTTGACTATTTCAGAGTTAAAAAGGTTAAATTCTCACTATTACAATGAGGCATGAAGAAAATGAGACATGGGGAAATGTTTTGGTCAAGTTAGCACTGCTAACTAATGGTAAAAATTGGAGTTCTGTCTTGCCTCTGGTAGAACTTGGTTGCCTCTATTCCTACTATAATTAGAAAAGGAGGTCAGAACACTTTGGGGTGGGAAAGTCTGTCTTGTTTTGGCTGCTGTGGTGAGAGAAATGAACAGAGAAAGCATCAGTTTTTTGTTTTTGTTTTTTAATTCTCACCAGAGTAGTGAGGATATTTTTCCAATGGTATTCAGAGAGGGTGGTAGGAAGGGGGAAGGAAGAGAGAGAAATACCTTAAGTGACAGAGACACATCAATTAGTTGCCTCCCACATGAGCCTGGAGGTGGGGAGGGCAGGGATCAGACTTGCAACTGAATGGAACCTGAGACCCTCCAGTGCACAGGCTGATGCTCTAACTACTGGGAACGTAGGCCAGGTGGCATCGGCATTTTTCATTGCTATTCTTGTAAATCTTACATACAGGAAGCATTTTGTTAAGTGACAGAGACACATCAATTGGTTGCCTCCCACATGAGCCTGGAGGTGGGGAGGGCAGGGATCAGACTTGCAACTGAATGGAACCTGAGACCCTCCAGTGCACAGGCTGATGCTCTAACTACTGGGAACGTCGGCCAGGTGGCATCGGCATTTTTCATTGCTATTCTTGTAAATCTTACATACAGGAAGCATTTTAGATTTAGCTACCAAGAAGAGCTTAGTATCAGTACAAAGAAATAGTTCATTTGAAAAGTTGATCTAAATACTTTTTTCTTATGTAGACCTATGTTGTAGAAAATTAATAGGCTTAGGATAACCAAACCCTTATCATCTGTTGCAGGTGATAACAAAGTTGAGGGGCATTAACTACATTGGATATAGTTGATGGGGCTAGCTAGAGAGTGTAGTGAAGACTTGACATAGGTGTGGCCTATGCTACCAATTTCAGTTTTTATATATCATCTGTAATTTGGTGGACCACAAAATCAGGAAGAGAAGGACTTAGAACACAGACCTGCTATAGGTATAAAGCATTCACTAGTCTATCCAGATGAGATTTGGACTTCCATTAACTTGTTTTTTGGTGGTGTTTTTTCTTACCAATGAAGCATTGTACCTGAGCCCCTGCCCTTAGCTTTGAGCATTGATGAGAACTATATACTGGAAAAGCCTAGAGCAGCGGTTCTCAACCTGTGGGTCGCGATCCCTTTGGGGGTCGAACGACCCTTTCACAGGGGTCGCCTAAGACCCTGGGAAAACACATATAATTACATACTGTTTTTGTGATTAATCACTATGCTTTAATTATGTTCAATTTGTAACCATGAAATTGGGGGTTGCACAACATGAGGAACTGTATTCAAGGGTCATGGCATTAGGAAGGTTGAGAACCACTAGCCTAGAGGTTTAACTGCTTAATCAGGAGTGACGAAGCTGGAGCTGTTCATTCTGAAATCCTTAAGTGTTTATCCAAATCAAAAGTAAGGACGAGACCTAAGATAGTCCCATACTGCCTGAATCTGATTGGTTATTGGTTGATATTAAAAATAGAACCACAGACGTTATAGAGACTGTAATATCTCAGTTCTCCAATAAAAGGAAATAACTTCTAAATAAATGAATTTTCTAGCTCAATAAAACTGTATACCAGAGATTAAAATGCAACAATTTTCATGTAATGTTTCTTAAATATATGCTTGAATTTTTTTTTAAGCAGTGTAATGGGCCTGTTAGTTAACCTTTCATTTGTAATGTGTTTCTGGATCATCATTTTCAATACTAATTTTTCTACTATATTCACCAGTACAGTGATGCCAGTGAGATGATACTCTGTTCATGCTCTAAAAAGACAAGCGTGCTAATTGTGTACTAGATACTAGGATAGGCATTTTAATATAAATAACCAAGGTACATGCCCTTGACTGGAATCGAACCTGGCACCCTTGAGTCCGCAGGCTGACCCTCTATCCACTGAGCCAAACTGGTCAGGGCCAAGGGTATGTTTTTATTGATTTGAGAGAGAGGAAGGGAGTGAGAAACATCTATCAGTTGCCTACCATATGAACCTGAAATATTTTGGTATATAGGACAATGCTCCAGCCAACTGAGCCACACGGCCAGGGTGTATTGGTTCTTTGATTGGATAGTTGTGGTCTTTTCCTGCACCCAGCAAGAAATCTAGATTTATTATATGTAAAATCTTTTCATTTAAAATTTTTTACATACGTATATGAATATGTTTGTTAGACTAGGAATCAAACAAGCTATCTGCGGGCTGCATCCAGGCTAATTTAAACTTTTTGGAATGATAATTTGGTCTGCACTACCAACTACCCTTCACCCCACTCCTGGGAGGTGTTTGTTTTTATGAGGTTTATTGGGGCTTGGCAACAGGATACAAAAAGAAAAGAAAAAAGCTCTCACATTGCATTTTATAGGAGGAACCAAGGTATCGGGAAGCAGGGAGGAAACATTTTTAACTATACTCAAAGTGTACTATTTTATTGTGAGTTTTTCTTTTTCTTTTTTTTAAATATATTTTATTGATTTTTTACAGAGAGGAAGGATGAGAGATAGTTAGAAACATTGATGAGAGAGAGAGATGGATCAGCTGCCTCCTGCACATCTCCTATTGGGGATGTGCCCGCAACCCAGGTACATGCCCTTGACCGGAATCGAACCTGGAACCTTTCAGTCCGCAGGCCGACGCTCTATCCACTGAGCCAAACCAGTTTCGGCGTGAGTTTTTCTTGGTGTCAGTGTATGACTGCTTTGACCCATAATTGTCTTGGTGGTGTTCTGAGTGGCATTTCCCCTCTACTACTGTTGTTCCCCCATTTCCTGAGTGTTGTATAGACCTCCTTGTTGTCAGTATATTTGGTGCATCTGTTAGTGTCAGGATACACAGATCTATTTCATCTAAAAGTAGAATAATATTACACTAAGTGTTTAATTCACACAGTACATTGTGGCACTTCTCAAAACTTTTTCCTCACGATATCTTTATACACTTAAAATTGAGGACCCCCAAAAGCTTTTGTTTATGTAGGTTGTATCTATTGATATTTACCATATTAGAAATTAAAACTAAGACTTTCAAGTGCTTTTCTAAAAAGAAATTTAATGAAAAAGAGTGTCATTATTTTATAGTTTTACAAATCTCTTTAGTGCCTGGCTTAATTTTTTTAAAAGGAGGATTCTCCTCTTCATTTAGCCTGTTACAATATCACAGTACAGACACTAAGAAAAATAAAGATAGAAAATTCAAATCACCTTTTAGTAATCCTATATAATAAAAGCCTAATATAGTAAGTGTCTGACTGAGCTGTCAGCTGTTCAACCAATCAGAGTGTAATCCTATATAATAAAAGGGTAATATGCAAATAAACCAAATGGCAGAACAACCGAACAACCAAAGCATAATATGCTAATGATATGCTAAGGCTGCTCAACTGCTCACTATGATGAGCACTGACCACCAGGGGGAAGACAGTTGACTGGTTGACCAGTCGCTATGATGTGCACTGACCACCAGGGGGCAGATGCTCCAATGTGTAGGTTAGCTTGCTGCTGGGGTCCAGCCAATCGGGACTGAGCGAGATGGGCTGGACACGCCCTGAAGCCCTCCCATGGTCCCTCCCTGGCCTGATCATGTACCAGTGGGATCCCTCAGCCTGGCCTGTGCCCTCTCGCAATCCGGGACCCCTCGGAGGGTGTTGGAGAGCTGGTTTCAGCCTAATCCACAGGCCAGTCCCCTTAGGAGGGCACCAGATGGAGGGCTCATGACTGGCGAGCGCTGCTGTGACAGCAGGAACCTCTCCTGATTGGGACTGATTGGGCGCGAGCCTGCAGCAGGCACAGTGCGTCCAGGATGAGCAAGAGCGGCAGGTAGGAGCTGCAGGCGGGTGTTGGACTGCAGGACCACTCGCTATGATGTGCACTGACCACCAGGGGGGCAGACGCTCCGACCTGTAGGTTAGCTTGCTGCTGGGGTCTGGCCCACTGGAGAGCTAGGCAGGCCGGACACTCCCTGGAGTCTTCCCACAGTCCCTTCCCCGGCTGGCCAACCTCCCGTGTCTCTCCCCACCCCGGTCGTGCACCGGTGGGGTCCCTGAGCCTGGCCTGCTCCCTCTTGCAATCCAGGACCCCATGCACCGGGACTCTAGTTGAGATATAATTAACATATACATTGTGTAAGTTTAAGGTGTACAATGTAATGATTTAACACACATATATTGAGAAATAAATACTACAATGGGGTTGGTTAACAGCGCAGCGGTGGTGGGAGCCTCTCCTGCCTCTGCCGCAGTTGGACATCCCCTGAGGGCTCCCAGACTGCGAGAGGGCACAGGCCCACGCTGAGGGGATCCCCCCGCCCCCCCAGCACACGATTTCATTCACTGGGTCTCTAGTATGAATATAATTTTGATTTTCCAGACCCCTTAAGACCCCCACACTTTGAGAACATCTGGCATAGAGATTGTTTCTAGTTTTTTATCAATACAAACACTGCCAATGACATCTTTTTTTTTAATGTTTTTATTTACTTCAGAGAGGAAGGGAGAAGGGATAGAAAAAATAGAAACGTCGACGAGGGAGAAGCGAAATTTAGAGAGAAATTTCAGTGATGTAGGATCTGCTGCCTCCTCTACGTTCCCCACTGGGGGTCAAGCTCACGGCCAGGCACGTGCCCTACCAGGAATTAAACCATGACCTCCTGGTTCATGGGTCGATGCTCAGCCAGCACCGGCCAGAGCAAACGTTTTTAATTTTGATCATTTTTTTTTCTTTCGGTTAGGTTGAGCTTTTGTGCAGTTTCACTTTGAAAGAAGCATTACTTATTTAGTTGCCTTAGTTCTATGACACTAGACCTCTTGCATCTTCTGAAATGTTACAAAGTAATCCAGTTGTTTGTTCACTCTACTGTCTTATTTATGTAGATTTCTAGAGATGAATTTTTTTTTTTTTAGGGCATGATATATTTCAAAATAGGTTTTTGGGGGGATGTATTTTCTCATGGAAACCATGGTGTAAGTGTAATTACATGCCATGATTCATCTTTAAAAAGTAAGTTTGATCCATAATATACTTAACATACTCTGATTTCTTTGGGAAATAATAGAATACAATTTTTATTCTGGTAGTTAAAACAGTACAAGAATATTTACAAAGTTAGTTGAAGACTTTTGATAAGCACCCTTTTCTCAACTGTCTAGTTACTATTTGGGATGAGTAAAGCAGCTGTTAAGTGTTATATGAGAAGAAATGAAAGCTTTGGGTGAGAGACAGGTGCAAAGAAACCTGCTTCTTCTCAAGCATTTTGGGCCAGAACCTGACATTAGATTAGTGCATTGGGGGTTAAACGAACTGGTTGATGAGGGAAAAGAAGTTTAGTTTTAAAATTTGCTTTTTGTCACAAAGCAGTAGTTATTTTCTAAATATCATGAGTCTTATGCTACTGCTGGTGGGAGAGTGGGATTAGAAGTGTGCATATTAGCTTACAATGAGATAAATTATTTGAAGATGGAGAAGTGTGGTAATTCCTATAATAAGAAATTTCCTTAGCTGAAATTGTATGTGCATCAAATGTTCAGAAAAGAAAATATGTGTGGCCGAAACCGGTTTGGCTCAGTGGATAGAGCGTCAGCCTGCGGACTGAAGGGTCCCAGGTTCGATTCCGGTCAAGGGCATGTGCCTTGGTTGCAGGCACATCCCCAGTGGGAGATATGCAGGAGGCAGCTGATCGATGTTTCTAACTCTCTATCTCTCTCCTTTCCTCTCTGTAAAAAATCAATAAAATATATATTTTTTAAAATTTCTAAAAAAAAAGAAAATATGTGTGTATGTAAAGAATATATCGTTTTGATGCTTTGCAGTTACATAATGGAATATCTTTTCTTTTGTTTCCTAGGCTCTCTACTTTTAGAATCCAAAATAAATCCTAACACTGCATACCAGAAACAACAGGTAAAAATTTGAAGATGTGTTTTATTTTGCATATTATCCTCTTAGTTGGTGATTGAATGAAAATTTACTCTCTGATTCCTTATAATGAAAAATTAAGAACAGATTACAACATATTTTGCCAGTCTAATTCTAAAATACAATTTCTATCAATTTTTAGCATATGAAACAATCATTCTAAATTTAAAAAAAAAAAAACTTGATTCGTATTAAGCCAGTTTTATGTTCCAGGTAGTCTAGCAGGTGAGCTTTGATACTCAAAAGGTAAAACAACTCAGTTTTATTGTTTCTGCCTAAAGTGTAAAAAAAAAAGTGGCAACTGATGTAATCATCAGCCATTAACACAAGTCCTTCGTTGTTGTAGATGCTAGTGCAGAAGAAATATTTGTATCCCTCTACAGCAACTCAGTGTAGATAAGAATCTGATTTCTTAATTTTTAAGTTTTTACTTATTGATTTGAGAAAGAGAAAAAGAAACATTGATTTGTTGTTCCATTTAGTTATGCATTCATTGGTTGATCTTGTATGTGCCCTGATCAGTGTTCAAATCTCCAACCTTGGCATATTGGGACGATGCTCTAACTAACTGAGCTACTAAGATTCTGGTCAGGGCAAGAATCTGATTTCTTACATAGCCTGAAGAGGACTTTATACTGATGTTACAGTTTTTAAGGCAACTTTCAATTTGAGTATATTCTTTCTTGTATTTTTCTGATATGTAAGACATACCAGAAAGTAAATCTTACCCTCACTTAGTACTACTAGCACTATCGACAAATGGTATTTATTTAGAACTCACACACATATTGCTCTACAAAGCCAGTGAAATCCGTATCAGTTTCCTCATTTCCCTGAAGGTGCAGAGATAAAATAATTTAAAATAAAGAATATTACCAACATGTTCATACATATGTTACTTTATAAATATATGCATGTATCATTTTATAAATTATGAAAGTGCTTTGCTTTATCACCAACACTAAAATACTGCTAGAAGGAAATCAGTATTGTCTTTATTTTGCACATTAAGTGATGCCTAAAGATTGGGACTTGCTTGAAAACACACAGAGAATACATAGGAAAGCTGATACTAACTCCTAAATTTACTTAATGGTGATTTATTTGTCCCAAAACATTGGTACAATATGAAACATTTTTCTAGTAGTTTAATGGTGTTTGTTGTATTTAGTGTTCTTAAGAAAACTTTAGGTTTGATTTGAATAGTTGGAGATTAGACTATTTGGCTTTGATATTTTATACTTAAATACATAAATTCATGTTTTGAGGTTTTAGTCAGCTGAAATGTAAAAGCATATCCTAAGAAAAAGGAAAGATTGAGTCTATTTTAAGCATGAATGAGCAAATCCATGTCTATTAATGATTAACCTATTGATTAACAGGCAAGGTGATTTGATGAAAATTAGGCTCTTCAAGGAAAACAGAAGGGCAAGTTGTAAAAATTTTCTAACTTCCAAATTGCCACATGGATAATTAGGAGCAGATGTCTAGCTGTGCTCTGATTGAAATCTCCCAATGATTCTGAATATACATTGTAGCAGAGCAGTTGCTTACAGTTTTATTAAATCTATCTTATATACTAATGTGATGGTTTTAGATTTGTTCCAGTGGGTGCTATCACCACTTTCCATAACAGTATGCATCAGTACTCATTTTAAAGTTGAAGAAACTAAGGCTCAGGGAGATAATTTCTGGCATGTTGATCTTATAATGTTCATGTAAATTATTTTGAACCTGGACAGCTACTCATCAATGTGGAACAGATTACCTGCCTGGGATCCATGATCTCTAGAAGTTCTTAAAGATAGTAAAGAGGGGGATTTGAGCTATTTTTAAAAATTCTGAATAAGATTATAGATTTCCACTAGTCAAACCTCAGTTCTCAAACGTCTCCCACCTTGAGCAATTTGGTTCTCAACCAAGTTGTTCATGGAAAAACATCTTGGTTGTCGAACAAAATTTCGGTTCTCGATCCAACAACCCAATCAGTCATGTGTCTTTAAGGAGTCAAAGAAGAGAATGTAGGAGTATGAGTTTACTGCTAAATCTTGCATTGTTAACATCTCAAGAAATTGTGCCATCAATATTTTTTGGGTTTTTTTTTTTGGCTTTTGTTGCTGATTACTGAATATATACAGTAAGTCACCATGGATCTGAAGAATCTTAGGTTAGTAATAGGAGAAAAGTGAAAAGGAAAGTTGTAAGAACAACGATAGAGCTTAGATATGTACTGTATATAACAAAGGTTGGAATCATTTGGGGGGTCTGGTAGATTAATTCAATTACATTATTTCTAATGGAGAAAAATGATTCAGTTTTCAAACAAATTGCTTCTTGAACTGCCTTCCAGAACCAATTAAGTTCAAAAACTGAGGGTTCACTGTATTAGTAATGCTGCACAGCCTGATCAAGTGTACACTTATGGCTAACATCACTTTAGTTCAGTGAAAGAATATATTGGTCTTATGATGGACAGTTACATACTTGACTGAACAGAGTTAATATGCAAGTTTAGCAGACAAATTTTTAAACATGGGATCCATTTATGTATAGTAAGAAGTGTCTTTGATAATGAAAAGTATTAGAAACTGGCACAGTGTTAATAGATATCCTTTAAGGTACCTTAAATATAATCTAATCATGTTTCCTCCTCAATACAGGAACTTTTAGTACCCTAATAGATGCTTAGCCAGCCTTTGATTGGTTCTTTCCAGTTTCTTATCAGTTGGATTTAAATGTAACTCTCCCTAGTGTCCTTCATCATTTCATAGACTTCTCTCAATTAGAGGACCCTTTTTTTGGTTGATTGCTGTGAAACAGTGTGCATGTCAGTAAGTTTGAGAAGATACCTAGACCCTATAAATATTTTTATTATACCATGCATATTGTAGAACACACATTATTTTATATTACAGGGGCTATAAAATGGTCTCTGTGTTTTAAGTGTAGTGTCTTGCTGAGATTATATCTTAATAAAAACTGTTTATTAAACTTACTGTTATTAAAAAAAGTGAGTAAGTGTAAAGTGGTGGTAGAACCTTGCTTCTTGAACCACAACACTGGTGCATGTTTAAAAACTGTCTGGATGAATACTCACATACTACACATTTAGCCAATACTTCATGGGCCCCAGATAAAGAGCACTTGATGTTGACAACAGGAGGAGGAGGAGCTAGGTTTATCAATCCCATCCTCATAATATGCCCTAGTTATTAAATGCTCAGACTTTTCTTTGAGCCTAAATTGTAACTTAATGTGCAAGCATAGGATACAATGTTCACCCTGTATGTTTTAGTACATTTAGATTGTATGCTCATTTTGTCATGCTTTCCATATATTGGTTAAATTTCTAAAGAAAAAGAGTTTTCAAGTGAAGTATAAAAAGGCATAGTTAGTTACTGATACCAGTGTTGCAAAAAGTAAAAATGAGTACTATTCTCAATTCTTTGTTTTCTTAATTTGCTTTATACTTTGAAGTAGTTTGTGGTCATGTATGTTAATAATTTAGACTTCTTTTTTTCTTCCAAGGATACTTTGATTGTGTGGTCGGAAGCTGAAAACTATGATTTGGCCCTTAGCTTTCAAGAAAAAGCTGGATGTGATGAAATTTGGGAGAAAATATGTCAGGTAATTTTAAAAACTAGAAAACCAACATATTCTTAAGTATTTTGTGGGGGGGTTTTTGCTGTGCTTTCAGCTAATGCCCAAGATTTTAAATAAATCCTATACACAAGCATTTCATATAGATCTTTTATATTTACTGCTTTCTGTGAAAAGCTTGAATTATAGAAAAGTTCAGTTTCTTGACACCAGACATCCAGCCCAGACCTTTGCTATATGCCAGAGTTTTCTATTTATTTATTTATTTATTTATTTAATTTCTTGCTGATTTGAGAGAAATTGATTTGTTGTTCCACTTATTTATGCATTCATTGATTGATTCTGGTATGTGCCCTGACCAGGGATTGAACCCACAATCTTGGTGTATCAGGATGAAGCTCTAGCCAACTGAGCTACCCAGCCAGGGCTGGATGCCAGTTTTCTATTCAGCTGCCTTTGAGAGCTCATCCATTAGGTCTCACTCGCATCTCAGGTTTAATAATTCAAAACCAAACATAATCTCACTTAAATCTGTTCATTCTCCTATATCCCTCATCTCATCTGAGTAAATGCCATCCAATTGCTGAAACCAAAAACGTGATGGTTGTGTTTATCCTTCCTTTACCCCTTATAGTCATTCAGTTGCTCAATTATAAATCTTAAATCCATTCAATTATCTTTCTTTTCACTATCACAGTTTAGGACTCATTTAGACCATTGCATCTTAAGGATAGTTTCTCTATCTCTAAAATTTCTTTTTGATGGAGAACAATCCTGAGCAGATTCTTTAATTCAGTGGTTGTCGAGGTTTAGTCCTCAGACCGGCAGCATGAGCATGGTTTATTTTTGTTTGTTTGTTAATGTTTTTATTGATTTTTAGATAGGATGAGAGAGGAAAAGAGATAGAAACAGTAATGATGAAAGAATCATTGATCAAAGAATCATTGATCAGCTGTCTCCTGCATACTGGGGTTTGAGCTTGCAACTCCCCCTCCTAGGGATCAAGCTCACAACCCGGGCATGTGCCCTGACTGGGAATTGAACCAGTGACCACGTAGTGCATGGGACGATGCTCAATTCACTGAGCTACACTGGCCTGGTAGAGCATGGCTTTTATAAGAACTTTAGGTCAGATTTTCTCTGTAAAGGGCGAAAACTAAGTATTTTAGACTTTCAGTTTAACAGCTATTCAAAAATACTGTTTTAGTGTGAAAATAGCCATAGATAACAAATAAATGGGAGTGGTTCTCTTCATGTAAAATTTTATTTACAGAAACAGGTGGTAGGCCAAGTTTGGCTATAGTTCGTCAACCCTTGCTTTAGGCAATTCTATTGCACCCTGAAATTTGAGAGCCACTGCCTTAATAGAAGCTATCGTGTCCTTGAGACACTGTTTTTCCTTAACTTACAGAATTTATCTCTGCTGTGCATTCTACTCAGCTGTGTTTTTCAGAAACTAACCTACCTGTCAAGCTGTTGCTTCCTTCTAAGAGACTAGCATCTAAATGCCTTCTTTGTTTTCTGTTCCATTACATTATTTTTATAGCATATTCCTCAAGGTTTTATCTATAAAGTTCTCTCAAAAAAGGTGAAATTAATGAGCTCGGGAATGGTAAAATTATTAGCACCCATTCTGACAAGTTTTGTTCTCCTTCACCTTTCTGAGTTGAGCAGTCACACTCTGGGCACAGTCTTCTATTAAGCCAATATTTAACTCAAACCTTCACTCAATCTGTTGCTCTCCTTTAATATAATTGTCTAGTTTTTACTGTACTTTTCCTTAGTCATCTTCATTTGGGGCACAGCTAATATAGTACTTGTATGCTTTCCTAGGAATCACTGGCTATTTAATGTTCTTTTCTGACCTTCTCCAACTTTTACATAGTGTGTTCAGTATTGTTTCTCAGTCACTCTTTTATGATCCTGTTTATACTTTTCAATCATATTTCTGGATCCTGGCGTATACTAGGGAATTCATTATATTTTGCTCTCTCTGAGATCTTACATGTTTCTCAAGATCTCACCATTTTTTGATCTAGAAACCATTTTCTAGTATACTCTTTGATAGCGTTTATGTTTGGGCGCATCTCTTTTCCCTTTTTATATTTTTTATGGCCTTCACATTCTCATTATCTTTTTGCCCAGACTGCTAAAATTTATACTTTCTCTTAATGAAAGCTCTTTGCTAGCCTTATACCTTTTGTTTCCATTCTTCCGTTGTTTTTGTTTTGAAAGATTGAAACATATTTGTCAAATTTTACAATTCCATCTTAATTCCCTGAGCAGATCAGATTTCAAGAGTATCTTAAGTGCAGACCCTTTTCATTCATTACCTTCTTAAATGTTATATTTGCAAATTACCTCAAGAAGACAGCATTTTCATTAAATAAAGGCTCTTGTTCCCTTTTTTTTTTTTTAAATCAAATGCTACCATTTTTTTTATAGGTAAAACCATGGCTTGAAAATTAGGAATCTAAAGTTATAATGAGAACTTATGTAATTAACAAATCCAGAGTTAAACTTGAGATCATGCCAGGTACAAGCTGTAAATGTGCCTAGCCTCCTGTGAGTGGTGCTGCCCACTGGGTTAAGGTCAAGATGATATCACCTTACAGCATATTTCAAGACATATTCCAGGCCTTCTTCCCTTCCAATATTCGTCAACAATAGCTTTTTTAAAAACATTTTTATTGATTTTTTTTTTTAAAAAGAGAGGGACAGAGGGAGAGAGACAGACAGACCTTGATTTGTTATTTCACTTATTTATGCATTTATTGGTTGCTTGTATGTATCTTGACCAGGGATTGAACCTGCAACCTTGATTTATCAGGATGACACTCTAACCAACTAAGCTACCTGACCAGGGCACGATCTCTTAACTATGCTTAGTTAGCAATTTAAGTTTCTTGGCCATTTCACGTAAGGCCTAATTTTTCCATGCTTTCACCATTCAGTTTGGCCTATTGGGCAACTCTGGTGGCAGTTTTGCCAAGAGAGCAAAATGGTTTTGTTTCAACATATGTCTTTGACCTTTTGTAAAATACTCTTTTACTTTAAAATGTATTTAGCTGTGAAGACTTAAGTTATCTTTTTATAATTAAAGCCCCTACACTGACATAAATTTGGGGTTTTATGACAAAATTTAGGACTTCTTCTGGAGGACCATGAAAGGTTTATGTATGTAGACAGGAAAACTCTTCTGTGGTTTGGTTACCTAACTTTTAGTAGTTATTCTTGGGGATAGCAGGTTGTGTGGTTCCGTTTTTGTATGGGGACACTTGTTTCCCACTCGGTTTTCTTAATCATATTTTTGGACCTACCAACCAGTGTGTACAGCAAATCAGTGACCCACTTTGGTTCAAAGCCATTTTGTATATGCCCTTTGGCCCTTGATTTCTATAATTGACATTAAGTATTTTCTTTGTTGCTTACAGTTATATATATTGTCTATGGTTTCAGCATTATATTTGTTTGAATTTAACTCAAAGCTTAACTTTGAGGAGTTTGATGACTAGCCTGGAAGCACAGTGCTATGAATGTTCCTAAGACTTGCCCTGGTCTGTTGTAAAAGAGGGCCATGGATATAAGATGTGAGTGGATGTTTTATTATCAGGCCTCTACGTTGAGGGTCTGAAGGTAGGGTCTGCAGAGCACTCTGTTCACAGGTAGGTTAGCATATCCTAGAATGTTTCTGTTACTGGTAAACCTTGCCCTTATGAGGAATCTCATTCCATATCTTAAAATAGAAAGTATATATTATTTGTAGAAATGTAACTTAGGAAAGTAGGCAATTGGAGTCTTAAACTTGAAAATTATCATCACAGTTTTTTTAATGTTTTTATTGATTTTAGAGAGAGGAGGGGAGAGGGAGAGAAGCGTTGATGAAAGAGAGATGTTGATCGGCTGCCTCCTGCACACACAGCCGCCCAACACTCCCTCCCCCCAGGAATCAAGCTCACAACCCAGGCATGTGTCCTCACCGGGACTCGAACCGGTGACCTCTTGATTCATGGGTCGATGCTCAACCAGTGGGCCACACTGGCTGAGCTTATTATAGTTTTCTTAGAACATCTCTTGTATTTATGTAAGAATATCATTTTAATTTGCTTGATTATCTTGTCAGCTCTCATAAATCTGATTTAATAGGTTCAAGGAAAGGACCCTTCAGTGGACATCACTCAGGACCTTGTAGATGAATCTGAAGAGGAGCGTTTTGATGATATGTCATCGCCAGGTTTAGAATTGCCATCTTGTGAATTAAGTCGTCTTGAGGAAATTGCAGAACTTGTGGCATCATCTTTACCTTCCCCCCTGCGTCGTGAAAAACTTGCACTAGCACTGGAAAATGAGGGTTATATTAAAAAGCTCTTAGAGCTTTTTCATGTATGTGAGGATTTGGAAAATATTGAAGGACTGCACCACTTGTATGAAATTATCAAAGGCATCTTCCTCTTGAATCGAACTGCTCTTTTCGAAGTTATGTTCTCTGAGGAATGTATAATGGATGTTATTGGATGCTTAGAATATGATCCTGCTTTATCACAACCACGAAAACACAGGGAGTTTCTAACAAAAACAGCCAAGTTTAAAGAAGTGATTCCCATATCAGATCCTGAGCTGAAACAAAAAATTCATCAGACATACAGAGTCCAGTATATACAAGATATGGTTCTACCTACCCCTTCAGTCTTTGAAGAAAATATGTTATCAACACTTCACTCCTTCATCTTTTTCAATAAGGTAGAGATTGTTGGTATGTTGCAGGTGAGTTTGATCATTTTTTTTCCTACTTAAAACAATACCCGTTGGATCAATAACATTTAAACTTTTAATTGTCTTCAAAAATAATTTTGCGATCCTTTTAAATAAACTAAGTTTTCTTTTAACAGTATGCCCAGTGTCAGGTCTGGTGTTTTAGGGTGCTTGTATCAGAATGGCCTAGGCTGCAATTTTCTGGATTCTGCACAAAATACGATTCAAAATCTCTGAGCTGGCCAGTAGTCTGCATTTGTAACACTCCTGAAACCAAAAACCTCTCAATATCATATCCCATAGCATGTGAATTAGTCTACTCTAACTGAAATAGAAGTCTGCATGGTGGAAAGGTTTGTGAGTTGCATACTTCCCGTTTTTTGTTTCTTTGATGCCCATGATATTATAAGAATAACAGATAGGTGATATGACTTGAAAGATATATTTTAAAGCCTTACCTGAGATCTACAAACAAAATAATACTTGAAACCTGAATTTGTTAAATAAAAAAAGGAGGCAAATATCAATAAAAGCTACTTGGTAGCACATGTTATAAATAAGGCAGCAAATTCAATTTTCACGAGTGTGTCTTTTTAGACAATTGCTATATTTCCAGTGTCTTTGGCCTTTGTTACCCTTTAAAAAAGGGACTTCAAATAGAAGTAATTTTACCAAAACTACTTTTCTGGAACTAGTAATAATTCCAGTTCATGTTGACTAATTGGACATGTTTTCCATTCATTTAAAATGGACACAAATAATATAGGCAATACAGTCTGGTAAGTATACTAGTAATCTTCTATACAGTGTATTATAATTGACAGTAGAGGAGGAAGAGGGGTTTTGGTACCAATTTCCATGTGTTCTTTGATATGAAAATAGTTTTTGCTAGCTTCCTAGTAGAGCCTGTGTTCTGGTCCAGTTTTGATTCCTGGTTTCCTTGGATAGTACTGAGTGCTATGGGTCTTTTTCTTTAGCTCCACATGGTTCTCATCTTGGTATGCAGTGATTTGTCACTTCTGTGTTTTCTTGGTCTTTATACCTGTAAAATGCCAGTTTTACTTATTAAGTAATGAATAATTGCAGCTTGTTAGTGCTTCTTTGAAGAAGAGAATTTTACACCTTTTTTACAAGGAGTGATGGAGGTATAATTTAAAGCAGGTTTTTACCTACCTTAAGTACACAATCATATCTCTTATTGACTACTCTACATAATGCTATTAAATGTTCTTATTCTTTCTACTTCTATACCCCAAATGTAGCAGTTCAGAGAATCTTTTTTTAATTATTTGATTGCCTTTTGGTGGAATACATTATATCTGGGATACATCTTGAAATTGGATGCTATTTTAGGTATGGCCTATTTGTACATTTTAGAAAAAGTAAAGGCGGGAGTAACCAAACTACTTCAGTATCATAAAATGTTTCTTGAGCACCTAGAACAGGGAATATGGAAGTTATAATCTAGTGGGATATTATATGTGTACATACATATATATGTAGGTATGTATATATATATTTAGACTTAGGCATGTCTGTAGGGCTGAAGTAACGTTGAATTTACTTCTAGCCTGAGGTAGTATGGAATTAAAATAAAACAAAAATCTTTAAAATAGTGATGGAAAAAAATTAAATGGGCAATCAAGAAGGCTCTACTACTACCTATTGTGATTGGGCTTTGGGTAAATTTCTCAATCTCAGTTATAAAATAAGGAGGCAAAATAATACCTGAGGTTCTTTCCAAGTCCTTACTCTATGAGAATGTATTTTGAATCCTTTTAAAAATTTAATGCATGTTAAAACGTTTCGTACCGCTCAGGAGTTGTCTCGTGCTTCGCGCGCCATCTGTTAAGGACCGCTCACGAGTGTTCCCGTTTTTCACGCCCATGGTAAAAGGAGCGAATCTAGATACTTATGTAAATTTTGTTTGGTCCCTCTTCATAGAGGAAAATGTTTTACGCAGTACCATACCTTAAAAAAGTACTAGGAACTTTAATTGTTTGTTTTTGTAAATAAAAATGTTATAATTATTGAAAAACAACACCTAAAGCGCATTATGATGATTTAAATAACATGCAGTTTGCCCAAAAACGTGCGGTCCTTGGCGTATGTTTTAGAGATTTCTATGCGGTACACAATGTGTTAAATTGTGTATATGGCTATCTTCAAATAATAGATGTTTCTTTAAAAGCTCTGAATGTAGTCTTTTAAAAAATTGAGTCATTTCTGTGTCTTCAAACATCAAGGAAACTTTCTTTTCATTTTAATCTTTATTTGAGAGGTTGTAGAACCTTAATTTCTAAAGTTGAAATTACGAAACTATGAAAACCAGGGTCTATAAATATGACCCATACCTGCTTTTGTAGATAAAGTTTTATTTGAACACAGCACACTCATTTACATACTGTATGGCTGCATCCTACTATGACAACAGAGTTGAGTAGTTGTGGCAGAGACCATCTGGCCTGTAACAACAGTGTTGAGTTGTTGTGGCAGAGACCATATGGCCTGAAAAGTGTGAAATATTTAAAATGTGGCCCTTAAATAGACTTGGGAAATAGAGTGCTGCCAACATATAAAGAACAACCTTTGTGTATAAATCTCCAATTTATCCTTTAATTTGGTTTTTCTTTATCTCTTAAAAAAATAGCATCACCAATACCTTCTTCCCTTTTTGCAGTTATTACAGTTTGTATCTTTTATTATAGCATCTTGAAGTTTTTTATTATACTCTTACCATTAAGTAGCATAATTTATCCTTTGATTTCACAGGAAGATGAAAAATTTCTGACAGATTTGTTTGCACAACTAACAGATGAAGCAACAGATGAGGAAAAAAGACAGGAATTGGTAAGAACTTTGATATTATAGAGGACGTGAAACTAAAACAACTGATTTTTTTATATTCACTGATCCTTTTTCCTAATTTCAGGTTAACTTTTTAAAAGAATTTTGTGCGTTTTCCCAAACGCTACAACCTCAAAACAGAGATGCTTTTTTCAAGACTTTGTCAAACATGGGCATATTACCAGCTTTAGAAGTCATCCTTGTAAGTCTGTTTCTCCTTATATTTAATTACTATTATGTTTTTAATCCACAAAGGTAACATATGTAACATGCAAGTATTTAATTATAGCCAATATTGAATGTTAGCTGTGTGTTACACAGTATCCTATATAATAAAAGCCTAATATGCAAATTGTCCCCTCGGGTGGTCGTTTGACCACTCACTATGAAGTGTGCTAACCACCAGGGGGTGGCACGGAACATGGCTCTGGCAGCAGGTTCTCAGGTGCTGGTTGCCCATGAGGAACCCACCCTGCACCCATGTGGCCTCTTCCAGGTGAGCCAGGCCGTAGCTGCCGGGACCGCAGGGGCTGGTCACGCTCCCCATGGGTTCGCGCAGGAGCTGGTCTGCAAGGCCAGATGGCTTCTGGGCGGCCCAGAGGCCCACGCCGTGCCTTGGCTCACGGCATCCAGCTGCACTCACCGCATCTCCGCGTGGGGACTCGGGCACTGTGACTTAGGCCGAGGAGGGTGCGCGGGGACCCAGGTGCTGCCCAGGGCCCAGAGGTCAGCTGGGACCTGCCCTTCCACGACATGCTCGTGCTTTGATCGCCAGCCATGCCTAGAGACTGCAGACCTCTAGTTAAAAAGCTATAAAATTCCAGTGTTAGAGTTCTTACATAGTGCTGAAAGAATCCTTAGGAATTTTCCATCCTATATAATAAAACCCTAATATGCAAATCGACTGAACAGTGGAATGACCTGTCGCTGTGATGCACACTGACCATGAGTGGACAGACGCTCAATACAGGAGCTGCCCCCTGGTGGTCAGTGCACTCCCCCACTCAGCCAGAAGCTGGGCTCACAGCTGGTGACACTGGGTGGCAGTGGCGGGAGCCTCTCCCACTTCCGCTGCAGCGCTAAGGACCCTTTGGAGGACATTCCCCTGAGGGCTCCTGACTGCAAGGGTGCAGGCTGGGCTGAGGGACCCCCTCCCTTCCCAGTGCACGAATGCTGTGCACCAGGCCTCTAGTATCTATAATAACAAAAGGGTAATATGCTCATTAGACTGGACGTCTTCCGGATGTCCTTCCTGTCGAAGCCAGGGCAGGAGGGAAGCCATCCAGGGTCTTGGTTGCCCATGTGTGGCCAAAGGAGGGAAGCAGCCCAGGTACCTGCGGCGTCTGGAGGAGGGAAGTCTGGGTCCCGGGTGCTCGAGGAAAGACAGTGCCGGCAGCTGGGGTAAAGAAGGCCTACTCTTGGACGAATTTTTACTAGTTTTTAATAATAATGTGTTAACTTTGCAGCTTATTAGATGACATGTTAAAGTAGAAAAGTAAACAGGGATAAAAAAAGTACAACTTTATCCATGGAAAAGGGTTTTTACATGCAGAATTTCCTTTACCTCTTTTTCTTACAGCAGTTTTTTCTTACAATTTGTTAGGTTTTGAATTTATGTAGCCATATAAATGTTCTATGTTTTTATAATATAGGAGAAATAAGTTCTTTTTATCTGCAGGGCATGGATGATACACAGGTGCGAAGTGCTGCTACTGATATATTCTCATACTTGGTTGAATATAATCCATCCATGGTACGAGAGTTTGTCATGCAGGAGGCACAACAGAATGATGATGTAAGTAAGAAGTTAACAGAGCAAAAAATAACCAACAAGGTAAATATTATTTGCACTAACAGTAACTATTTATTTAAGATTTAAATAGTTGATGTTTGGGAAAAGTGTAGCCATAATATCAGTTGGCTTATTCTTCCCCTAAATTGGCGACTGTCTCAGTTTTAAAGTGTGTCTTACAGCAGTTATTTGTTAATGCTCAACTTAAATTTCTTTTTAAATTTTTTAGATTATTTATTAATTCTGAAGTTAACTTTCTGTAATGTTTAAATCGTTTATCAATAAATTGTTATTCTGTATGTGGAATTAATAACTTCCCTAGGAAAACATTGACTTTGCTAGGGATTGAGTCTCAGAATCATCAAGAATGAAGAAATGAAGCACAGTCCCTTGGAAAGTATTTAGGGGCCCTTACAAGCTGTTGTCTAGTTCATACATACACATGTGTTTTTTTTTTTAATATATTTTATTGATTTTTCACAGAGAGGAAGGGAGAGAGATAGAGAGTTAGAAACATCGATGAGAGAGAAACATCGATCAGCTGCCTCCTGCACACCCCCCACTGGGGATGTGCCCGCAACCAAGGCACATGCCCTTGACCGGAATCGAACCTGGGACCCCCCGCTCCGCAAGCCGACGCTCTATCCACTGAGCCAAACCGGTTTCAGCTATTTTCC